TTCTTTATAAGCATTACTCCTCTGATTTTTGTGTTGAACGTTGCTGTGTAGAAGTTAGAAGTCAGTCAGATTTCTTTCATTTTTATAGGTGAATTGATCTTTTTGACTTGATGCCAAAAGGATTTTTCTTTCTTCAAAGTCCACTGACGTTACTAGGATGTGTAGACATGGTTGAATTCTTACCATCTATAGATTTAAATCTTTTATTTCTAGAAATTTTTCTTAAATTACATCTCTAATTTTTCCTATTTTTTTGTTCTCTTATTGACAATAATTGTCTATATGTTAGATCTATTTTGTCTTCTGTATTTAGTATTTTCTAATTCTTATAAAATCCTGTTGATTTCTACTTTATTTTGCCCATTTTCTCAGCCCTGTCTTCTAATCCTCATACTGGGTTTAGTGGTTCTGTTATATGGTTATGGAAATGTCTCTTTGTTTCCAGGGCAGTTTGACTATTCTTTCCCTAAGGAAGAATTAGGAGTTAATCCTGTGTAAATGGTTTATCAGGCTTTGTGATATTTTATTAAATACAAGTATTAGGTGGCAGTTGAAGGGAAATGTATAAAGCTGAGGAAAATACACATTTAGAGGGCCTTCGGATGTGCCCCCTCTTTTTACATTGTATGTAGATATGGTAGATGGTGTCTTTGATCAATATACCTCTTAGGATGTGGGTGTTCTATTTTAAGTCATATATGTGATGGAATAGATTTTGCTCCTGTACTGATAGCATGGTGGTAGTCAAAGATTTGAGGAGCACTTCTGACCATGTTCAAATTATCCATTTGGCTCTTGGGAAATGGTAAGGAATTCTAAGTATCACTTTGAACATTTTGGGATAACATAGGTCAAAGAATTGTGGCTATAGGGCTTAAGAACTTGGGTAGTGACCGACTGTGCCCACCTGGTTTCTTGTTATTAAGCTATTTTCTGCAGTTGGTGTGCATCATAGTGTTACTCCACAGTATATTACCTGTTTGTCAGGCATATGTGTTTCAGTCCCTAGTCAATGCACATGGAAAAAGGAAAGGGCCATTCTTCTGGGACGCAGCAATGCAATCTTACATTCTCAACGCTGTGGAACTGCTTTTCACCTCCCATTATATTTTATAAGGCTTCTCATATGCAGCTTGGCCAGAAGTGTTAGTGGTAGCAGTATGTAGTCTGTGCCTAGTGCTGTGCTAAGTGCTTTTATATCCTTTCTCTCATGTTTTTTTTTTTTTTAAGATTTTTTATTGGGGAATTGGGGGATGGGAACAGCACTGGGGAATTGGGGGAAGGGGAACAGACAAGTTGCTGTCCTTTTGTTCTTCAGTCTAGTTGTGGAGGATGTTGCTTCACTGGCCCAAGTTGGCACCATCATTGCACTCTTCCCCGGTGAGGCAGATCAGTCGCTGGCTTCTGGACGGCCGCTCACTGCGGCTGCTGGCTACACACGGTAGCCCATGGCAACCCACTGCCACAGGGGCTGCAGCCTACGCCGTCGCCGGCGACTCACGGCAGCCCAGCTCCAGGTTGAGCTGTTGTTCAGCATCTTAGCTGTAGAGGGCAGTGTCACAGGCCCTCATATGTGGGATCCAAACCAGGGCCCTCTGGCGTCCCAAGCCAGCTCTTAATCATTGCTCTACTCGGCCGGCCCGATCTCATGTTTTTATTAGAATGATTGCATGAGCTTTTTATTATTATCCCCATTTTACCAATAAGAAAACTGAAGCTCGGAGTTAACTCACATGACAGTTAAGTAATGGAGTTAGGATTTGAATCCAGGACTCCCTGGCTCAAAAGCCCATGTCCTTAGTGACTGTATAACTGTCTCTTAGGGTTGGTCATTAGTCTTCTAAGTCGTCGTCGTCTTCTTCTTCTTCTTTAAAGATTTTATTGGGGAATTGGGGAAGGAACATTGTGTTTTTCCAGGACTCATCAGCTCAAAGTCAAGTTGCTGTCCTTCAGTCTTGGTAGATGGTGCAGCTCAACTCCAAGTTCAGTCACTGCTTTCAATCTAGTTGCAAGGGGGCGCAGCCCACCATCCCATGCGGGAATCGAACCGGCAACCTTGCTGTTAAGAGCATGCGCTCTAACCAACTAAGCCACCTGGCCGGCCCTTCTAAGTCTTCTAAAGCTAAACCAGAATAAGGAATTATAGACAGTAAAAATTCTCATTATATATCATTTAATACAGGTTAACGCTGTGTTTGAATAAATAAAAGACTTTCACATTTGCTTTTTCCCTTCCCCTCACAACCTAGAGAATCAGATTATAGTCCCCCCTTATCTGTGGGGATACATACCAAGACTTCCAGTGGATGCCTGAAACTGGATAGGATCAAACCCTATACTGGGGGTGCCAAACAAATGTATACATATGACTTGTATTCATCTTTTGTTATCAGTATATATTGAGTATTACAATTTTAATACAGTTTTTTCCTTTCTTAAAGTGTGTATACGTTTTTTGGGCACCCTGTGTATATACTATGTTTTTCCTATGCATACATACCTCTGATGAAGTTTAATTTATAAATTAGACACAATAATAGATTAACAACAATAACTAACAATAAACTAGAACAATTATAATAATATACTATAATAAAAGCTTTGTGAATGTGGTCTGTCTCATAACCAATCTGGTAACCAAGAGGGCTACCAAGTGACTGATGGGTGGGAGGCATATACAGCGTGGAGAAGCTGGACAAAGGGATGACTCACGTTGTGGGCGCAATGGAGCAGGACGATATGAGATTTCATCAGACTGTTCAGAGCAGTGCACCTTTTAAAACTTATGAATTGTTTATTTCTAGAATTCTCCATTTAATATTTTCAGACCATGGTTGACCGTGGGTAACTGAAACCTTGGAAAACGAAACTGTGGCTAAGGGGGGACTACTGTATGAAATGAGAAGGGGTAGGCGAGTGAGTGTGCTTTCCCACTGATAATTCCATACATGGATAAATGGATTTTGCTTGAATTTCCTTCCTTTTTCTAACAGGGGAAACCTGTAGGCCTTAAATGTCAAAATGGAAATTTTTATTCTGAATAAAGTCGGTTCTGAGATAGGAACCACTATAAATGACATAGAATTGTTTAAAATGGCACCTTCCATATTTCTTACTGTTACTTGGCAATGTGTTCTTTTGGCATTTGGTGATCGGAAAAACAGCGCAGCTGACATCCAGTTGTTTTTTCTGAATGGGGTAATGAAGTTAAATATTTATTTCTGTGGCTGTAATGGGTACAGTCCTGTGAATTCCACTGTAACTTTGTGATTACTGTGCCCCTTACCTTAGAGTCTTACCAAGCATTTCTGCTTTCTGGGCACCATAGAGACAGACTCCTATTGTTGCAATCACCCTCATAAAAATTTGAGAGCAAGCCAAAAAAAAAGTTTGTTTCATCTCAGGATGTTTGCCTTCTGCTCAACAAAATGAGATCTCCACATTCTGTGTGGTATGAAGACAGCCCGATGGGTCCATCCTTACACCTGTGGCTGGGCGTTCAGCCCTCGGCCTAGAGGCAGCAATGCAGGGCAGTAATAAGACCCTCAGCAGGGAAGGCGGTCTTTTCTGTTTCACTCTAGATGTTGATGAAAATAGCCTTTCATCCCCTCCTGTCCTGCCTGAGAGATGGGATGGGGAAGTTGTTCATTTCCGGCTGTGCTTTGGCTTAAGACACACTTGGAAGACATTCTTCCATATTCTTGTGGCTGATGCCTTGTTAGCAACCCAATCACCTGAAACAAACACAGCAGTGCTGTGAGAAAAGTGGCTCCCAGGATTTGGAGCCGGGGAGTGAGGTCCAGGGCACTGGGTTGAAGGAAATTATCCCCGTGCTGTTTTGGAGTCTAGTCCTGAGGACAATTAAACAGTCCAGACAGGTCACTGGGTGAGACCAATTTCCTCCTTTGTTTATTTGAGCCTGATTGTTTTCCACCATCGAGCAGAAGGTCATGGTCCTGCTACACTGTTATCCCAGCTCTGTGGAGAGTGTTCCCTTTCATATTTGAATTTTCCAGGCTTCCCTAAGGATGCTAGCCATCCGTGTCTTGATCTGGTTGGGTTGCTCTGGTGTCTCTCTCAGGTCCAGAGCAGAGGGCAGTGTCAGTAATCACTTTCCACTTCATCTTATGCAGGCATTTGGCTTTATGTCCCGAGTTGCCCTACAAGCAGAGAAGATGAATCATCACCCGGAATGGTTCAATGTGTACAACAAGGTAACAAAATGGCCTTATTTTTGGGATCACCTTAATTATGAAGTTTAATAAATTTCATTCTTCCTTCTTTGTCATCCATGCAGCTCAGGGTCATTGTGCTTAGGAAAGTATTCTCAATTTTTTCTCTCAGAACCCTGTGTATTATTACAAATGAGTAGCATAATTTTAGATCTCAAGAGAACAGTGACTGAGCCCTTAATTTTCATGCTTTCATTCTACTGAAACTAATATGAAAGTTGGGCCATATTAAGCTCCTGAATTAAACTTGGATATCAGCCATGCAGATAAATTTTTAAACCTTCTTAAGGTAAATCATTGAAAGAAATGGTAGCAAATAAGAAAGATAGGGCCTTATTTATCTCATTGAGATAAATTTGCTCAAGAACTGTGGTTTAAATAATAACTATTTATTAAATGCTGTCTCCTCAGTGGGAACTAAAGTCACTTAAGGCAAAGAGCAGACTAAAAAGACTTAATCTTAAGTAATTTTAAGGGGGTACAGTGAGAAGAAGTGTCCTTACCTTTATGGTCATGTCATTTGGAATGTCTAATCATCTAGATTTCTGTGGGGTTCTTTTTTCTCTTTGAAAGTCCACTTTGAATAAGAGAAAATGTCATGATATTCTTGTGATTTGTTGGAGTAATTCAGAGCATGCAGGTACCACGATAAACTTTTCTTTCGTAGTTGCCTTTCTTTGCCCATAACTTTCTTTTGCCTTTTAACCAATTTGTCAAGAAGCAAGAGTATTCCTCCACCACAGCCCCACCCCACTTCTCTAATTCGGAAGTGGACTTTTTTAACATTGCTAAGATCCTATATCTGATAACTTGGTTTTCCTCAGTGGCCTGAAAATAGTTGGTGTAATTAAAGTAATGGGAGTTCAAATGGAACCTTAGTCTCTTTTTTTCCTTCAAGAGATAAGATTTGAGAATCTGGCAGCTGAATTGACCTTCTTATGCGAGAACCTTTTATCTTTGGGCAGACTGTGCCCCTGGAGTTTACTGGGTTTGGAAATGCTGTGCTTATTCATGATGTAGTATTTTCTAAATCATTTAATCTTTCCAGTTCTCAAATATGAATGTTGAATAATAGATTGATTTTTGAACCGTTAAAGGAGAATACCATGAATCGCAGGTCAGAGTTTTAAAAACTGCTTCTTTCTTTCTTAGGTCCAGATAACCCTCACCTCGCATGACAGCGGTGGGCTGACCAAAAGAGACGTGAAACTGGCCAAGTTTATTGAAAAAGTAGCTGTTTCTGTGTGATTTCTTCCAAAATGCATGTAAAAGCTGATATACATCTTAGGTGCAATGTCTTTTGAAGGCGATTTACATGAACAAATTAAGTTGTAAATTTAGTTTACCTTTATACCACATTTTGTAAAATCACTGCCTAAATACAAAATGGTTTAAATTTCAGCCTTAGGTATTTTTCATTATATCTAATCACGTGTGTGTGTGTGTGTGTGTGTGTGTGTGTGTGTGTGTGTGTGTGTATGGAAAACCAACCCAGGTAATTATGTTAATAATACAATATTCAAAAAGAGAAATGGCATTCTTACAAAGACCAGAAATTAGGATGGGGGAGTATTCACACATTTTATAACCAAAAAAATTCAAATGATTATGGTGAGTTTACAAATGCATTGTGTTGGAGAATAGTTATAACGTAGTCCAAGAATTATGAACTCTGTAGGTAAAGGGTTTTAACCATCTAACAATTCTTTTGAAACTAAAGTTGATTTGGATTTTAGCTGCTGTTATTATGTAAGTAATTAGATTACGAAGTCACAAAAGTTGGGTGAGCTATCTTGTGTTTTATTCTTACTTTTCAGACAGGGAATTGAAGGAGAAGACAAATGTTTTGTCCATGGCTTCCTGCAAGGTGGTGCAATATCAGGATTCACAGTCACAGTGACCAGCTTTCCAGGTCACTATTTGGCTTACTGAGTTAAGGAGGAACCAAGGGTCATTTTTTTCATCATTTGCATGTTGTGACCCCTGAACTGGAGGTCTATAGCCATTAAGCTAAAAGCTACTTGGGTATTATCCAGTAATGAGCTCTATTTACTCTGTGTATCACTAACAGGAGTAAAAGGAAATATAAAGTAACCTGTTATTTAAAAATAGTGATAACAGCGTCCTTTGAAGGAACTCAGGAATGTACTTATTAATAAGCTTAGAACGTTGATTAAAAGAATGTGTGTATGTGCGCGCGCGCGCGTGTGTGTGTGTGTGTGTGTGTGTGTGTGTGTGTGTGTGTATCCATCTAAGAACCTGTGTTAATCCCCGGAAGCATTACTGTGGTAGGATTTAATAGGGATCATCTTTGTAACCACACCTCACTTCAGAGGCTAGAAAAACCATTCTGTGTTACACCAAGCAAACCTTCCCCTCCCACCCCATCCCAGCCTCCAATCTGAGAAACCCTGTGGGAACCTGCCGAGGAGGCTGAGCTCTCTGAAGCTAGTTCCTGGCTGGCTCTGTTGGCCTGGGAGAGGCTGATCTGGTCATTTGGCCCTGTGGGTATGAAGTATGCAGGCCGGGAAGAGAGCGAAGAGCCCCCCAGGCTCTGAGGCTGCTTGGAGACCCAGAGCCTAGGTACCAGGACTTGTGCTGCTTAGAAGTTTTCCAGAGGAGAAGGCAAAGCTATATGTTTTTATAAATTTTCTTATAGATTTGGAAGGACTTTTATACACTTAATTACCAAAGATTTGTAGTTCAATGCTTTAATATATTTAAAAATAGAGTACATTGGACCCTTATGTACTGATCACCTAGATTTAGGAAGATTTTGCCCCAGTTACTTCATATAATCCCCCATCTTTTTTTTTTCTAAAGTATTTATTTATTTATTTATTTATTTATTTATTTATTTTATTTATTTATTAGATTTTATTGGGGAATCAGGGAAGGGGAACAGACAAGTTGCTGTCCTTTTGTTCTTCAGTCTAATTGTGAAGGACGTTGCTTCACTGGCCCATGTTGGTATTATCATTGTGCTCTTCCCGGGTTAGGCAGATCAGTCGCCCGCCTCTGGATGGCCGCTCACGGTGGCTCTTGGCAGCTCACACCAGCTGCCAGCCGCTCACACTGGCTGCCAGCCACACATGGTAGCTTATGGCCGCCCACTGCAGTAGGGGCTGCAGCCTACGCCGTCGCCGGCGACTCAAGGCAGCCCAGCTCCAGGTTGAGCTGTTGTTCACCATCGTAGCTGTAGAGGGCACAGCGTCACTGGCCCCCATGTGGGATCTGAACCGGGGCCCTGCTGCTCAGAGCTGGCATCCCAAGCCAGCTCTTAACCAACGTGCCACTCGGCCGGCCCTTTGCTAAAGTATTTAAAAGCAAATCTGTGATAGCATTTCATTTTATCCCGACATCCTTCAGTAAACATCTCTAGAAAATATGGTGATTTTCTTTTGTAAACCAGAATGCCATTATCACACCTAACAAAATAAACCATGGTTTCTTGGTATTGCCTAATAACTGGGCAAAATCAAATTGCCCTGAAGGTGAAGAATGTGTTTGGACAGTAATTTTGTTCTAATCAGGATCCACATGAAATCCACCCATCACATCTAGTTGTTGTGTCTTTTCAGTCTTTCAATCTAGAGCAGAGATCGGCAAACTTTTGAGACGGAAGAGCTGCCAGGGGTTGCCAAACTGTGGCTCTTGAGCCGCAGGCTCTGAAGTTGAAAAAAAAATAAAACTATCATAGTTTCATTTGTAAAATTTTTAAATATTATTCACATAATGGTGATTATGTAAAAATATATTTATGGCTCTCAAATAATTTTTAAATTGTTGTGAGGGACAGGATTGGCTCTTCCAGGGGTCAGCAAACTTTTGAGACGGAACATACCCAAAGAGCCGCATGTGGCTCGCAAGCCGCCGTTTGCCGACCCCTGATCTAGAGCAAGCAAGCTCTCCTCCCTTCCCCCTTCTCCCCTTTCCCCCATGTCACTGACCTATTGTGAAAACTGGGTTAGGGGAGTTTTGAATATTCCACCTTCTGGATTTGTTTGTTTGCTCCCTTGTGGCTCATTTAACTTGTGTCGCTGTACCTAGAATGGAAATCTTCCCCCCGGTATTGAATGTTAGCCTGAGAGGCTAATCTTGATGGCTGTTAACATATACCACATATAGCACAGGAGAGAAAGAAAGCAGAATATGGCTTATAGTTGCACTGGTGAAGACCTGAGAATGCTGCTACTAATTAGCATCTACATGAGGGTTTGACAGAAGGTCCATGGTAAGGGGTATTGCATCTGCTGGAACTCACACACGGAACTCACACATTATACTGCAGAGAATCAAAGGTCCATAGAAATACACATTGTAGTAAATTCCAACAGAATGAGTAACTGACATTTCAGCTTAAAAGAGACATTGGCAAGGATGGAGGCCCCCAAGTTCCCTTCTGTTCCAAATCTTTGTGGGATAGCAGTGGTGTATCTGATGTGGTAAGCTTTGGCTTCACTCCGTTTTCCTTCTGAATGATCACTGGAGTAGAGAGGAGTTAAATAGACATGACCTATGACCCCTTGCACGACCTCTGTATATAACAAACCAGGGCCAGCGTGTTTGACAGCATTCTTTTCTAAAATGAAGTTAATGAAAGTTCTGAAAATAATGGTTACTTCCTCACATTTGTAAGATTTAGGAAACCTTTGGGTATATAGAATCAGTGTGGCTTTTATGGTTTTGCTCTAGACAAAAAGCAGCACGTATACTGTACTTGGACATAAACCTGACCTCCGTAAGTGTATGGAAGCATTGGACTACTAGTGTTGGTATGAAGCAGCCTGTATACTTTCTAACCCAGCATTCAAAAGCATACTAGTTGAACTCTGTAACTCTCAGTTCTGTGAAATTTCCTACAAAATAGCAAGAGCTGTATTAGGGTTTGGCTATAATACATGAACTTTGTGTTTCAGTGCCAGTTACTTGGGACCAGTAAGGGATGACTCTTGGCCAGAAGACGTGAGTCACCAAGCCGCCATGCATGTCTGCTGACTGCTGACCTCCCTGGCTGGGCACAGCTGCCCAAACTGGGCAGAGTGTGAGTTGTTGCTGAGGGGCGGAAGAGGTGCCCCTTTAGTTTCTCATCCCAGGATGCCCACCTCTTCATGAGAAGGTCTGGATGATTTCAGTAGGCCCTGGATACGCTCATCACCTCTGATTCCACTCACCAGGCAGAATGCCATTCCCGGACTAGATGTCTTCCGAGGCTTCAGAAAGCACAGGCAGCTGTACACTAGGAACAACTGGCTCGTCTCTGCTGCTCTCAGTGGCCATCTTACTCCCCACAGGCGTCTTGAAAAATCCCTTATATTCTTAACCTCTTCTCCATTTCTCCCCAAAAGCATGCCTTGGTGTTTAAAGAGGGAAGGCATGGAAGTGTACCACTGGGGTTCCTGGAGATGGAATCCCATTGTGCTCAGCTACTTGAGTGAGCATAAGGATTCCTGGTGCCATTCATTTATATATTCATATGGTACACACCGGGAGCCTCCTCTGTGCCCCCCGCAAGATAAGGCACCTCGATATTTTGTGGCAGGCTGAAGCAGAGATGGAGAACTGATTCAAGCTCTCTGAACAGCTGCTCCAGGAGGCCACTGTGGGGATATTGGGCAGGAGCCCAGAAGGTGTTGGGGGGCACGTGACTAAAGGAAGCAGTAAGAAGTATAGGGGGAGCTGATCCCCGAGGGAGAGAATGTAGAGCTAGAAGATGAGACTAAAGTTTTAATCTTGGGGACATTAATCAAAGTGATTCTTAAACATTGGCTGTTGATGATTTTAATTTTTTTTTTTAATTTTAAAGATTTTATTGGGAAATTGGGGGAGGGGAACAGTGTTGAGGAATCGGGTTAGGGGAACAGACAAGTTGCTGTTCAGTCTAGTTGTGGAGGACGTTGCTTCACTGGCCCATGTTGGTATTATCATTGCGCTCTTCCCGGGTGAGGCAGTTGCTCGCCGGCTGCCGCGTCTAGCACGGCCAGTCGAACGGGCCAGAGTGGGGGTGATGGAGGATTAAGAAAAGACAGACAAAGAAGTACCTGAAAGCGGATTAAGAAAAGACAGACAAAGAAGTACCTGAAAGCGGGGGGTAGGTGGACAGCTGTCTCCTGATGGGAGGACAGTGACCCCCTCTAGCAGCCTGGTTTACTTATATAGCCTTGCTTATGGGGGGGGGGGCAAGGAAGGGAAGGAAATGGCCTTGGGCTGAGGATGTTCCATGTGTCAGCTGCAGGATGTTTGTAACCAATGTTGCAACAAATGTATCGGACCCAGGATGTTTTATCACCAGTGAACCAAAACCACCTCCAATATGTTGAGATGCTGTGTCAGCCTTCCAAAAACACAGCCAGAGAGTGTGCCTTGCACCAACCTCTGCTTTACAGCTCTGGAAGCTGGTCTTGGTCTCCGGCAGCAGGCCTTTGGACTGCCGCTCACGGCAGCTCACACCCGCTGCCAGCCAGCCCACTGCAGCCTACGCGGTAGCCGGCGACTCACGGCAGCCCAGCTCCAGGTCGAGCTGTTGTTCACCATCTTAGCTGTAGTGGGCACAGCGTCACTGGCCCTAATGTGGGATCCGAACTGGGGCCCTGCTGCTCAGAGCTGGCGTCCCAAGCCAACTCCTAACCAATGCGCCCCTCGGCTGGCCCAGCTGTTGATGATTTTAAGTGGAGAAATTGAGTAAATAAGATGTTTTTTCCCAGTTCAGTGTATTGGTTACCTGCAAGAGTATTTTCCTACAAAGAATGGATATATACAATTGTTTTAGAACACTGGGACAGCAGTGTTGGTGGGTGGTTACCTCCTTTTATTATGACCCAAGAAAGTAGGTTTCCAGGAATTTGACTAGCGTAGCCACTAGAGATTTAGTACAACAAACAGGGCTATCCAGATCCCTCTGTTTTGATTTGCCTTGAAAGCCAAAGGGAAGGAGAGCAAGGAGAATATATTAACCGCAGAGCAAAAATCCCTATTGTTCTTATATCTAAAAGATCTTTATCCCATGGGCTCATCCCTTACACTCTACTTAGGTGGTTCACATGTGTACATTCCATGCCCCCAATTAGCCAATGCTGGGGATGGGTAACCTCTGCTGTGTCTATGTTTTGTGTTCTAGCTCCAAACCCATCAAAATCATTCCTTGTCCTTCTAGGTGTTTCCAATGCTGTGCCCTGGGGGTGTGCTCTTGCTCTTAGAACCCCAGAGAACTTTGCTTGCCCCTTTTCTATGACCCTTAATTTATTGTAACATTATTAGAGCTTTTATATGTCAGGTGAGGACATTTCTTGAAGAAGGAGGGGCTTTCGTCTGGCCTATTTGTGGTGCCTCCCAGTTTTAGCCCCGAGCTTCACAGTCACGGGTGCTCATGACCCCTTTTGGTGAACTGAGATACTCAGTCTCCTTGGGAAGATGATCTATGCATAGATCAGCTGGATAGCTCTCCTCTCCAGGAGCCTGCAGGTTCATAAGGTACTGGAATGCCAAATAGTGACCTCATAAAGCAAGCATTCCCCTCGTAGACCTATTCTCTGTGACCTCTGGAATCTAGACTCCGAGGAAATCACTAAGCAGAGATTTTCTGTTGGATGATAAAAGAAAGGAATAAAAATTGCAAATTTGGAAAATGTCTCAACACTTTTATAACCAGACCCGCACAAGAGCCATTTCTAGTTCATTGTTGGATAATACATCATCGATGTTCTGTGCGAGATTCAGGACATTTCAGTAAGTATTCTCTGTTTCTATTGCTTGTTAGGAAATATGCAAATGGCAGTGTGGGGGCAGGGTGCCAGTGCTCTGTCGCCTCTTCCCACAGGCACTCATCCACTTCTCAAATTGAGGTGCACATCCTTGCTAATTTGATTTCTCTGACTGAAGTTGGTGAAGATTCAGCTAAACATGTTGCTTCTTCAGCTTTAATATCATGACTGGCTGGTTAAGTCAAACATTCAGTCACATTGTTTTTTTTTTTTTTTAAAGATTTTTATTGGGGAATTGGGGGAAGGGGAACAGACAAGTTGCTGTCGTTTTTTTTTTTGTTCTTCAGTCTAGTTGTGGAGGATGTTGCTTCACTGACCCAAGTTGGCACCATCATCGTGCTCTTCCCAGGCGAGGCGGATCAGTCGCCGGCTTCTGGACGGCTGCTCATTGCGGCTGCTGGCCGCTCACGCTGGCTGCTGGCTACACATGGTAGCCCATGGCAACCCACTGCAGCAGGGGCTGCAGCCTACACTGTCGCCAGCGACTCATGGCAGCCCAGCTCCAGGTTGAGCTGTTGTTCAGCATCTTAGCTGTGGAGGGCAGTGTCACTGGCCCTCATATGTGGGATCCGAACCGGGGCCCTCTGGCGTCCCAAGCCAGTTCTTAACCATCGCGCCACTCGGCCGGTCCTTCAGTCACATTCTTAGTTGACCTGTAGACTGAATGACTAGTTCGACTTTGTTTTGTCCTTTTTTTGTTACTGTGTTAGATAATTTCAAGGCTTTTTTTTTTTGTAATAGACCCTTATCTCAAACCAGATAATGAAAATTACACATTTTATTTTTCTAGATTATAAAAGCATATACATTCTGTATTTTTTCTACTGTCATGAGAACGTGTTCATTTGTTATATATAATGGGTAAAAAGTAATACTTTTTCTTTGAGAAAAATTGCAAAGCACAGATAAATATAAATAAACAGGAAAAAGAATCACCTATACTCTCACCAATATCAACATTTTGGCTTATTTCCTGTCAAGTACTTTTCTACCCATTTTTGCACACTTGAGATAATTTTGAGTAGAGAATTTTATATTTTGTTTGGTTTTTGTATTTTGCTATCTAGTGGATCATAAACATATCTGTATAATATTCCATGAAATGGATATGCTATAATTTACTTAACCAATCTTTTTTGTTAGACTTTTAAATTGTGTCCAAGTTTGCACTATTGTAAATAATGCTTGGATAAACACACTTGGGAAATTTTTATTTCCCTGATTAGTAGTGCTACTGAACATTTGGGGGGAAGTTCATTGCCATTTCTATTTCTTTCATGAGGTGACTGTTTCTGCCCATTTTTTTCTTAGAGTGTTCAGTGTTTTTTTTTTATCATTGATTTGTAAGCACTTGTCTGGGTGATGAATTCATTATTATCCATTTTCCTTATTAAACTGATAATATTTAGTTTTGCTCACATTATATCCTCAGTGCCCACTGTAATGTCTAGCTGCACAGCAGTTCTCAACCTTCCTAATACCGATACAGTTCCTCATGTTGTGGTGACCCCCAACCATAAAATTATTTTCTACTCTATAACTGTAATTTTGCTACTGTTATGAATCGTAATGTAAATATATTTTTGTTTTCCGATGGTCTTAGGTGACCCCTGTGAAAGGGTCGTTCGACCCCCAAAGGGGTCGCGACCCACAGGTTGAGAACTGCTGGTCTAGCATGTAGTCGTCACTGAATAAAAACTTGTTGAATGAGTAATGAAAGAGTTGAATAGTAGTCAATAAAAATTTGTTGAATGAGTGAATGAAGATGATGCTTTGTTTTACTTGAGAAGGAGTGGTAATTGTTCTGTTGCAGAGGTCTAGAGAGAAAGAACTGAGAAACTGGGTAGGGACCGAGCCATTCAGTGATCATCATACATATTTCAGTGGTCATTCAGTCAGCATTTCATTGCAAATTTAAAGTATATATAAACTTATATTCACAGGAGGGGGAAAGAAAACCCTAGTCCTTACCCAAAAAAATGTATTATTTGGGGATCTAGCGCTGTTGTAAGATAATCATACCTCTTATTTAACTTTTTGACAGGAGGAAAGATACTCAGTGTCAGGCATTTGTGAAAAGAATCATAATGAGTCGTCTCTTTAAGATAATTATGATTAGCATCATCTCAATGAATGCCTTTTTGATGGTCTTGCAGACTGATTATAAAATAAGATACAAATTGTTCAGAGTTTTTGAGGTAAGCAAATGAAACGAATCCATTTTTTTTTCTGTTTCACTTGTTTTGGTTCTGAAAATGTTATAAGATTTTTAAGGCATTTTGTTCAAGAAACTTTTCTGTAGAAAAATTCTAAGGGCTTTTAAAATATACTCTAAAATCTGGGAAGATGATGGCAGCAGTAGGAATGGTGACATGCTTTTTTAATTTCCCTGAATCCCCTCTTTAAAAAGATAGAGCAACTAGATGTCAAAACCAAAAACCCATGGGCAGCATTTACATAAAAACTTGTTAATAAGGAATAGATATATATGATATGGGGGGGTGGAGGAGTGGGGTGGCGCATTGGGGGAGGGGGTTATCACTTTGAGGGGTAAAAATAGTATAACTATTGCATGTGTTGTACACCTGAAACTAATTTAAAAACAAAACAAAACAAAACAAAAACTTGTTAAGGTATTCTTAACAACCACTTACTAAACTGTAGAGTATTAGCCTCTGAGATTAGCCTCTGTGGGAGAGGAAGCAGTAAGATAGAAGCAACTTGTCACATACAAGTAATCTTCAAAGACACTCATAGCCAATTTCTCCTCAGAATCTTTGGAGGACAGAAGGCAGTGAAAGGACATATTTAAAGTATGAAAGGAAAATTATTGTCAACCAAGAATTTTATATCGAGCAAAACTATCCTTCAAAAAATGAAGGAAAATTTTAGACATTCCTAAATAAACAAAAGCTGAGCGAGTTTGTTGCTAATAGACCTATTCTACAAGAAATGCTAAAGATAGTCTCTTTTAGGTAGAAATGTAACTTAAGCCATAAAGAAATAAAGAACATTGATAAAGATAACTATATAGATAAATATAAAAGCCAGTATTACTGTATTTTTGGTTTGTAACTCCTTTTTTTTCTACATGGTTTAAAATACAATTGCATAGGACAATAGTTATACATAGTCAATGGACACACAATCATAAAGATGTATTTTGTGAGAACAAAAACATAAAGGAGAGGAGGGATGGAGCTGTATAGGAATAGACTTGTTATATACTGGGGGGTGCCAAAAATATGTATACATGTGGACACTTTGGTCAGTGTTGCTCACGCAGTAGTTCACCATAATCAGAAGTGTCTGGACACTGATGGTAACCACTTTGAGCACCTCTTGTAACTGCAGAAGTCAAACATGATTTGTATTCATATTTTGTTACTGGTATATATTGAGTATTACAATTTTAATACGGTTTTCCTTTCTTAAAATGTGTATACATTTTTTGGCACCCTCTGTACTATTGAAGTTAACGTTGTATTAGTTAAATAGGTTGTTATAAATTTAAGATGTTAATTGTAATCCTGAGGGTAACCACCAAGAAAATAACTAAAAATATACAGAAAAATAAATGAGAAAGAAATCAAAAGGTACACTACAAAAACAAACAAACACAAAAGAAAGCTGTAATGGAAGAATTGAGGAACAAAAAAGATGTGACATATATAAAACAAATAGCAAAATGGCAGAAGTATTTTCTTCCTTACCAGTAATTACCTTAAATGTAAATGAATTAAACTCCAATTAAGACAGAATGGATCATCAAAACATCCAAATATATGCTGTCTACAAGACATTCACGTCAGATCCAAACATAAAAATAGGTTGAAAGTGAAAGAATGAAAGAAGATATTCCATGAAAATAGAAACCAAAAGAAAGCTGGGTTGGCTATACTAAAATATCAGACAAAATAAACGCTAAGGCAAACACTGTTACAAGAGACAAAGAAGGCCTTTATGTTATTGATAAAAGGATCAATTCATGAAGAAGATATAAGAGTTTTTCTCAAGTAGATGTGGGGCATTCTTCAGTATAGTCCAGGGGTTGGCAAACTTTTGAGACTGAAGAGCAGTCAGCAAACTGCGGCTTATAAGCACGTGGCTCTGAAGTAAAATTGAAAATGAAAATAAAACTATCAGTTTCATTTATAAAAATTTTAAAGGATATTATTCACATAATGGTAATTATGTTAAAATATATTTATGGCTCTCGAATAATTTTTAAATTGTTGTGAGGGACAGGATTGGCTCTTCCAGGGGTCGGCAAACTTTTGAGACAAAACATACCCAAAGAGCTGCAGTTTGCCGACCCCTGGTATAGACCATATGTTAGGCCACAAAACAAGTCTCAATCAATTAAAAAATATTGAAATCATACAAAATATCTTCTCTGACAATGAATTGAAACTAGAAATCAATAACAGCAGGAAAACTGGAAAATTTTTCAAATATATGGAAATTAAACAACACTTTAAAATAACAAATAGGTTAAAGAAGAAATCGCAAGGGAAATTAGAAAATATTTTAAGACAAATGAAAATGAAAACACAACATAATAAAATGTATAGGATGCAGCAGAAGCAGTGCTCAGAGGGAAATTCATACCTCTAAGTGCCTGCCTTAGAAAAGAAGAAATCTCAAATTAATAACCTAATTTTACCTTAAGGAACTAGAAAAAGAAGAGCAAACTAAACCCAAAGCTACTAGAAAGATTAGAGTGAGATAAACAAAATAGAGACTAGAGAAACAATAGAGAAAAATCAAGAAAAAAATTTTGTTCTTTGATAAGATCAACAAAATTGACAAGCCTTTAGCTAGACTGATTAATAAAAATAAGAAAAGACTCTAATTACTAACAATAGAAATGAAATTTGGGACATTACTGCCGACCTTATAGAAATAAAAAGAGTTATAGGAGAAGACTATGAACAATTGTATGCAAACAAATTAGGTAACCTAGATGAAATGGACAAATTCCTAGAAACAAACGAACTCCCAAACTGACTCAAGAAGAAATAGAAAACAGACATATTGGAACAGACCTATAACAAGTAAAAAAGATTGAGTCACTAATCAAAAACCTAACAAAGAAATGTCCAGGACCAGATTGCTTCACTAGTTAATTTTACCTTGCATTTAAAGAAGAATGAACACCAATCCTTCTCAAACTCTTCCAAAAAACAGGAGGGAATACTTCTGAACTCTTTTCATGAGTCTAGCCATTACCCTGACACCAAAGACATCATAAGGAAAAAAACAAACAAACAAAAAACCAAACAGACAAATATCCCATATGAATATAAATGGAAAAATTCTCGTTAAGTACTAACAAACTGAATCCAGCAGCATATTTAAAAGAATTATACACCATGACCAAGTGGGATTTATCCCAGGAATGCAAGGCTCAATATATGAAAATCAATGTAATACACCAGTAGAAGGAAGGAGAACATCCACATGATTACCTTATTCTAAAAAAGCATTTGACAAAATCCAACAACCTTTCATGATTAAAATTGGAAATAGAAGGGAAATTCCTTAACCTGATAATGGGTATTTATGAAAAAATCCACAGCTAGCATCCCTAAGATCATCATCATTCAGCATTGTACTTGGAATTCTAACCAGAGCAATTAGGCAAGGAAAAGAAATAAAAGGTATACAAATTGGAAAGGAAGAGCTGAACACACACACACACACACACACGAGCTATTAAACAAATTCAGCAAAGTTGCAGGATACAAGGTCAACAAAAACCAGTTGCATTGCTATACACGAACAGTGAACAATCTGAAGAGGAGTTAAGAAAGTTCCATTTACAATAGCATTCCAAAATAATAAAATACTCAGGAACAAATTTATCCAAGGAGAGGACGGATGTGTATACTGAAAATTATAAAACACTGCTGAAATAAATAAGACTTAAATAAGTGGGAAGACCCCACATTCATGGATTAGAAGACTTGTTAATAATACTAGTTAAGACTCTCCAAAAGCGTTCTATAAATTCAATGCAATCTTTATCAAAATTTTAACAGCCTTTTATTAAAAAAATAAAATTGAAAAACAGCTCCTGAAATTTGGGTGTGCAGGAGGCCCTGAATAGCCAAAACAATATTGAAAATGAAGAACAAAGTTGGAAGACTTGCGCTTTCTGATTTCAAAACTTACTACAAAGATACAGTAATTAAACAGTGTGGCACTGGCATAAGGATAGACCTAGACCTGTGGAATAGAATTGAGATTCCAGACATAAATCCAAGTATCTATAGCCAACTGATTTTCAACAATGATGCCAAGACCATTCAGTGGGGGAAAGAATAGTCTCTTTGTTACATGGTGCTGGGACAACTTGATATCCACATGCAAAAGAGTAAAGTTGGACTCCTGTCTCATACCATATACAAATGTTAACTCAAAATGGAGCTAGAACTCTTAAAACGAGGGTAAATCTTCATGACCTTGGATTTGGAAATGTATTCTTAGATATGATTCCAAGAGCACAAGCAACAACAAAAAAAATAGGCAACTAGGACTTCAATAAAATTAAAAGTACTTGTGAATCCAAAGACACTATCAAGAGAGTGAAAAGGGAACCCATACAGAATGAGAGAAAATACTTGCAAATCATATATCTGATAAGGGATTAAAAATTAATATCCAGAAGATGTAATGAACTTCCATAATTCAACAACAACAGTGTAACATAACCCAATTCAAAAATGGGCAAAGGACTTGTAGAAATTTCTCCAAAGAAGATATACAAATAGCCAAAAAGCACATGAAAAAGATGCTTAACATCACTAGTCATTAGGGAAATGCAAAGCCACAGTGAGGTACAACTTCATACCCATTAAGGACAGATACTATAGAAACAAAACAAAAAATAAAATAGAAAATAACAGGTTTGTGTGAGGATGTGGAGAAATTAGGACACTTGTACATTGCTGGTGGGAATGTAAAATCATGCAGCCACTATAGAAAACAGTTTGGCAGTTCCTCAAAAAGTTAAATGTAGAATTACCATATGATCCAGCAATTCCTCTTCTAGGTGTATACCAAAAAGACATGAAAATAGGGACTCAAACAGTTATTTGTACACCCAGGTTCATAGCAGCATTATTCATAATAGCCAAAAGGTGGAAGCAACCCATGTGTCTATTAATGATGAATGGATAAATGAAATGTGGTA